GCAGCAACCCTCTTTCAAGGAAATTATGATAGGAAATACAAGTCCTGGAATTTTAGTATCAACTCGGAGATATATATACCGTATGCAGGCATTGCTGGAATGTTGCTACATAGTAATAGAAAGTTCACATTTGGGAACATATAACATATGTCATACTCTAAAGCGCCTTCATACATGACAAAAATTCTCTGAAACTGACATTATCAAGATGCTTGATTTCTTGATTGACAACATATTTGTTACGTTTGGAGGACGTGTTTTTCAACAGACTGTCGGAATTCCAATGGGAAACAATTGTGTCCCTCTTCTTGCCGACTTGTTCCTTTATTATTATGAGGCTGACTTCATACAGGAACTTCGTCGGAAGAAAGATAAGAAGTTAGCAATATCCTTAAACTTTACGTTCCGCTATATAGATGATGTTCTCTCACTAAATAATACAAAATTTGGTGACTATGTTGAACGAATCTATCCCATCGGACTAGAGATAAAGGATATTACAGATACAGTTAAGTCTGCCTCATATCTTGACTTACATCTAGAAATTGACAATGAGGGTCGGTTGAAAACAAAGCTTTCCGACAAAAGAGATGATTTCAGCTTCCCAATTGTGAACTTTCCATTTCTATGTAGCAACATTCCAGCAGCGCCTGCATACGGAGTATATATCTCCCAATTGATACGATATTCCCGGGCTTGCATGTCCTATCATGATTTCCTTGATAGAGGATTGCTGCTCACAAGGAAGCTTTTAAACCAAGAGTTCCAAATGGTGAAGTTGAAATCATCCCTTCGTAAATTTTACGGACGCCATCACGAGTTGGTTGACCGTTATTGAATAACCGTTTCACAGATGATATCGGATATGTTCCTTATGTCGTAACTACAATACCCTTCCCTTTTAACGAATGTGACCTACCGAATTAGACTATTTACCGGATTTGTAATAACATAAGCAACACGACGGGTGCCACATGTGGAGCAGGATCTGCCCACCCTTCCGGAGCACCTGAGATCACCCCCAGTTTTTGGTGGGGTTCGTGTTGCTTAGTCTTTAGTTTTCTATGTTGTGTCATCTGTACTATTATTTGTCTATTTGTCTTCTTATTTTTGGCCATGGCGTTGTCAGTTTGTTTTCGATCTATGAGTTTGATTGTCCCTCTGGTATCTTTCGTCCCTTTTTCATAGACTGACCAAGATTTCGATATCGTCGACAGCGACATTGAATCAATATCAATGATGACTTCTGACAGTTATGACAAATCAAGATGTCGATATCAATGTCGACATCAATATCGAAACCTGGAGTAGTAGAGTAAAATAATAAAACGAATAACAAGGAAAGTTATAACTATCATTATTAATATGTCTAAGAAACTATTAAATCACAATAAAAACGATATCGAATCCTTAGCGAAAGACATCTGAACAATAGTTAAGATTGGAATAAGGTGGTTATCGTTTATAATTCGCTGTCGCCCATATTATGACTACATCCTCTCTTCAACCTACCTCTTGAGAAAATTGTGTATAAATATAAGAAGGTTTTAAAAGATTTTCCCTATTCGATCCCAAATATCCTTAATGAATGACATTACAAAATCACCAAGAATTGACGAGATTCATAATTAGTGACAGACACATTAACAGTCGGCAGAGTTTCTCTAGCTTTTTATTAATTGAAGTCTATCCCTCCATTTTTAAAACTTTAGGAAAAGATATGTAGAAAAAATCAGTACAAAAAAGTTTTTTTTTCATTATATTGCTGCGACATCTTTTGTCGTGCCAGCGGTGAAGTGAAACGATTCATCATGACTGCGTTACTTATCCAGAGATTAATTAATGAACATACATAATTGATTCCTCGAGATAATCCGGTCTTTACTGAACTCTATGAAGTGGTTGTGATAGTTTAATAAATCTTATCAAGGAGCAATGAGACAGAATTCTTTTCTACAAATCTAAATGGGGCTGTGTGCCATATACAATGAGGTCATCACCAGAAAAAAAAAGCAATTTAACACGTTTCATTTGGTAAAACCAAATATAGTTTTCTAGTGCTTGAGATCGTGCAGCAGTGTCAATCAAATTAAATAGATTCTTTTATATTGGAAAAACCCAATAGTAAGCGATATTTTCTTAACAGGCGTTGCAAATCCTGCATTATAAAGTTTCTTACAAAACTGTACGTATTATGCATTAAATCATTATTGACATGACATCATTAAATTTAAATGATAATATCATAAATAGTAAAGAAATATTTTTTCTAATGCGAAAGGTACAGTTTATTTAACGATTGTCAAAAATTTCTAAATACTTTTAAATTCACAAGAAGGAAATATATTCTACGTTGAATTTGATACTTCAGATAGATCCCCCATTTTTACAACATGTATAATTTGAAATCTAGTCACAATTACAAATTAACTGTTTACACACAAGTTTGATTTTTTTCGAAATTCTAAGGATTTATAACCCAGGAATAGATGATATTATCTGTATTTGTGAAAAACCTTCAGGAAATTTGGGTTCTTAATGCTCTTCAACTTCGTACTTTATTTGGCCTTTCTATCTTATATTCCAGCGTGGAATTTAAAATTTGTTCAATAATAAAAGAGAAAGTCTAACACTTGTTGAAATGTCCACCTTAAGCTTTGATCTTGTATTCAAGAACCGACAATAACTAGGTATCGGCAGAATGCGATACATAAGAAATAATGTGGGAGAACAAACAAATCTGTATAAATGACATTAGATTTTGCCTTAAAGTTTGCAGAATTCTTATCAAATATAGATTTAAAATTTAAAGATATTGTTATTGTATAATGAAATTTCATTTATAATTCTACATGTATATGCATTGTATCCTGCCATACATGTTATACTGAATCTGTAAGAATAATATGAACATGATGAAGACATACAAATTTTTCATAACGATGAACCTGTTGTGAGCATGCTTACAACTCATATACAGTCATAAATCGTCACCAAAGCAATTAAAACAGGCACTAAATTATAAATTTCGTGCCTCTGAACACTCAAACCGAAACAATAGACTTCTGAGATGATGATACCCTCGGGGACTCACAGTCTACCAAAAGTGGTCTCGACCCAGGGCTATTCAATAATTAAGAAAGGTTTTGATAATGAGATACTAAATAGTGAACACTCTTCGTTTGCTTTCCTTGCAGTACTACAGGGATTAAACTGTGTCGTGTTGTCCTGCTAAATATGAAGAAGACTGTACAATGTATAACTCATAAAAAAAAATTCAATACATTTCTATGATTTTATTTATATCGTCTGTCTCCTGAATTACGTTATATTGTAGAATACCGCTTCAGGTACGACAAACAATCATTTTTCCACATATTTCAACAAGAGAGGAATTTAGAACTTTTGAAATATTTTGGTTATATTATGAATTATTCATTTCTAAAAAAAACTATTAAAACATAATCTACTCAAAAGGAATGCCCTAATTCTAAGTAAGGATCGAAGTTCGTAACCTCGGCAAAAGTAAAACACTGACTACAGGACAGTTTGGAAGCCGACGACCTTGCTTTGAAATTGTGAACCAATACCAGTTTCATGTCAATACACCAGCTGTAGATCCCTTTAGAGTTAATTCCTCAGCTTTGTATTGCAATGCTTGTTTGCCTGTTAAAATGTACCTGTATTTTAAAGTTTAATTTACATAGTACATGTACTTTCATACTGAACACACTGACATCAAATATGTGTCAAAAGAATAACGTGAAAATACATTACTTAAACCATCATAGCTGAAATTGCTTATACCGGATGTTGTATGTTTCGGTATGGGCACTAGCTACTGGACATTGCCGGCATATTCATGAAAACAATGATCTAGTGTTCACGTACCTAGTTTCATTTCGGTAGAAGAGAAAGGGATACAGAGAGTTTTCAATGTCGGTCTTTGTGTGCCTAACTCTGAACATCGGTGAAGTATTTTGATCATATTTAACCACCAGTAACTGAAAAATCCTTACAGGAAGACATTTATCACTTAAAAAATGTTGCCAAATAAAAGAAAAGCTTCAATTTTAACGTACTTTCAACAAACAGTCGTTTTTTCGATAGGTTATAATTGCGTTCGCTTTTCATGCTAAATTGGTTTTGAGGCCGAATTAAAAAAAATCCTTAAATACAAATTTTCCACTGTATTTGATGCGCTTTCACTCAATAATCTACGAATCGGTAGGGATTACATTTTATAGTTAAAGCTTAACCCCGTAACGTTCGTCATGTGCCTGTCCCAAGTCTGTAGTGTGAGGTTGTCGTTGGTTTATGTCTATCGTATTTGTTTTTCGTTAATTGTAAAATTATTTTAATTTTTTTTTAAATTATTCCGTTAGTTTTCTCGTTTGAATTGGTTCACATTTTTCATGCCGGGGCCTTTTATAGCCGGCTATACGGTATGGATTTTTCTCATTGTTGAAAGCCGTACGGTTGCCTACAAATGCTTACTACAACTTCATTTTAACTCTGGTTGATAGATGTCTGATTGAAAAATCATATCACATTTCCTTATTTTTATATTAACATTAAGGATACCACAGAAACAAGTATTTCTGCTACCTGTTTAGATTTTTATCAAATTTGACAGATATGGATGGTTTCTATAAGATGTAGCTGTAGTTTATCGGTATCGAAAACTCGTAAATCAACTTTGAATTTACAAAAAATAGAAATAGTAGTAGGAAATGCTAAACGTGTCGACGCAACCGGTTTCTGTTTTTGGAGTTCACATGTTTCAAAATCATCAATATATATTACCACTACTATTCTAAATGTAGCAAATCAATAAATATTTCGTGTTTGTTCTTGTGCCTAATCAACCATATAAACAAGTCTTTAACCAGGTGTACAGTTCACTACTTCTTATCATAATGTCCTTATAAATATACGCAGTTGTCTGAATTATTTCAATCTTATCAAAGGGTTTATAAGAATGTCAGCCAGACAACTTATAAGTGTTTTCTATATTTTGGCATACTGTACAGTTACGATAATTGGAGACAAAAAACGTCTTCTCGAAGATCTTTCCCCTGATGTTGATACCAGACTTCACGTAATTGAAGTAAAATTGCAAAGTCTAACTTCACAAATTACAGAAAAAGATTTGTACATTACGCAGTTGCAGAGTACTGTATTGAAACTACAGAGTACTGTAAGTAATTTTTCATTCGGATTTTTTAATAATCTTCAACTTCATTTTTGACTTTGCCCTCTTTTACTGTGATTCGACAGACTCTGGAGAGTCGTTTGTGGACGAAACGTGGGTCTAGTGTTCCACATAAAGCATGTTATCTTTGATGAGATCTTTAAGTACTAAATTTTAGGTACAAAGGAATGAAGTAAAAAACGATCAAAAAAGCAAGTATGATGCATAAGTCAATGAAAGTAATAAAAAAACACGAAAAGGATATATAAATGTCCGCATTAAACAGAAAGATGGTCTATAAGATATGTCATACTCTAAAGCGCCTCCATATATGTTGTAGACTGACCAAGATTTCGATATCGTCGACAGCGACATGGAATCGATATCAATGTTGACCTCTGACAATTATGACAAATCAATATGTCGATATCAATATCTACACCTGTAGTAGATCAATAGCAGAGTTAACTAATAGAACTAATAATAAGGCAAGTTAAAACTATCATTATCAATATGTCCAAGAAACGATTAAGACACGATCCGAAAGCCACCTAAACAATATTTGATATCGAAACCTGTAGTGGATGAATAATAGATTTTACTAAGAAAACGAAAATTATAACTATCATTATCAATATGACCAAGACACGAAAAAGTCACGATATCACGATATCAACGATATCGGATAGAAAGCCATCTAAACTGTAAGTTAATATCGGAATAAGGTGGTTATCAATATCGAATCGCTCTTGCCTTTATTGTGACTCCATCCTCTCCTGAACATCCTCCTGAGTCTAGAAACGTTGTGTATAAATAACTGAGGCTTTATATTGCAAGTTTGGCTGCATCTGTAGAAAACTTATTTTAAACGGAATGGCACATCCAAATTCTTACGGTGATTTTGTTTACTAAGCCCGAAAATTATGATACAATCCGGGAAAAATTATCAATCTTTTAGATACAAATATTGTAAAAGAATGCAAATTGATTGTTTTTTATTCGTATGAATATTGATTTTGTTATCAGTAAATTAAAACAATACTGAATATTATTGTAATACACATATGCACTTTCACGGTACTACAATATATCGATACCTATAGTTTTACATTGAACCAGGTCATGTATATTTTTCTCTGTCTGTTTATGACCTCTTTATAAATACTAAAGCCATTGAATGTTTGATATGTACTGATTGCTATTTTAGATTTAGATACATGATTGTTTTATTATTTGTTATTGGCTTTCAACTAGATGTCAGTTATTAAGAGTACTCTCATATTTGTACTTTGTGTCTTTTTTGTTTTTACGGATGTATATATACTCTACCACGTCCAGTCTGTTAGATGCTTGTCTTCTTTGTATCAATCTGATAAAGGTAAATCCCTTTGCAACTGAAATTTATAGATTTTTCTTATGTAATACTGTTACACAACTGTCCCAGGTAAGGGGAGGGTTGGCGCCTTCAAACATGTTTAACCCCGCCACATTATTTAAGTGCCTGCCCCAAGTCATGAGCCTGTAGTTCAGTGGATGTCGTTGATTCATGTTTGTCACATTTGTTTTTCGTTAAAAAATTTGTTATAGATAAGGCCGTTGGTTTTTTTCAATTGAATTGTTTCATATTTTTCATGTTGGGCTATTAATAGCCGACTATACGGTACATGTTTTTCTCTTGGTTGAATGCCGTACGGTTGCCTATAACATGTGTAATGGCTTACATCGAATTTATTTGAACTTTGGCGGATAGTTGTTACATTGGCTATCATTCCTCATCTCATTATTTTTATAAATAAAATATTTGCTCTATCAAACCCCAAATATCTCTCACGACAAACATTATAAAATCTTCAAGTATTGACGAGATTCCTCACTAGTGACAGAAACATGAACAGGCAGAAGAGTTTGAGCACTCAAGTCAATACCAACATTAAAAAGTTTTGATTTGAAGATATGAAAAAGAATGTTAAAAAAACTCAATTGAGAAACACTGTCATTTTTGTATTACATCACACCGACACCTTTTGTCGTGCCAGCAGTGCAGTACAACGAATCATCATGACTCTGTTACTAATCCAGAGATTAATTAAGGAACATAATTAATTTAATTCCCGAGATAATCCGTTCTTTACTGAACTCTTTGAAGTTGTTGAGAATGAATAATCAATCTTATCAAAAAGCAATGCGACAGAATTCTTCTTTTTTACCGATTTTGATGGGTTTTATTTTGTTTAAAAGATGTAAAATATCATTATAATACATTTCGTATGTTTGAGATCGTGCAGTAATGTCAATTAAATGCAACAGATTCTTTAATATTAAAGAAAACCCATAGCAAGAAATAATTTTATTTAATACAGTCGTTGCAAAGTCTGCATTTTATAGTTTCTCACACAGCTGTAAGAAATATGCATGAAGGTAGATTAACTGTATACTACCATCTTGGATTGTAAAATAACAGTACACAATTGATCTAGTTCTGTTCTTTAAACTGCATATTTTGAGACAGATTTGCAATTAATGCATAAGACTGTTTATTTGAATAAAGAAAAATATGAGATTTATTGCATTGTTCAAACTTTATTTTAGCAAAAACCAAACACTTGTGTTTGTGCGAATCAATATTTTCAACTTAACCTTTCCAGGGGAGATAACTCAAATAGTAAAATTTTTGTAAAGGAATGTTAACTAAATTTCCATTTTTTACTTTTAACAAGAAAGTGTTCGGTGACATATTTTTTTTCTCTTTATTTTCTTAAAGCATAGTATAAAACCTTTCTTCCCATATTTTATTTCACAATTCTATCTGAATAATTTCTTTTTATTTACAAAAAAGTGTTTTTTCATGAATAATCAATGCAACTTTGGGCAATTTTGCGCGACTTGTGGTTTGAAAAATAGCTCGATGACCAATACTTTTCAATATATTTTTGAAAAACTCATGGTAGAATCTACATTTTGGCAAAGTATGAGAAAATTCTATCTGAGGAAATATATACCGATGATCCATAAAATTATTATTCACATGATGCCATTACCATGGTTTATGTTTAAATGAGAAAACCAGTCATAAATTTAAAATAAATTTTGAGTGGTACACTTTAGTCCACCTGGGTTAAAACGTGGGTTAAAAAAAAGAAATATATTCTACGTTGAATTTCATACTTCAGATAGATACAAACCCATGTAACCATTCAGAACAGTTGTAATTCGACATCAAAACAATTAAATAATAGAAAAAAAATAAACACTTTATAAATTTCGTGCTTCCGAACGCTCAAACAAAATTTTAAAGCCAGGGATGTATTAATACGTAGGCACGTTATATGAGTTATATGACTAAAAAGGACATAAAATATTCATAAAAGGTCAACTAAGGCAGTAAAAAGTAAAATAAAAAAAAATACCGAACTCCAAGGGAAATTCAAAACGGAAAGTCCTTTATAAAATGGCAAAATCAAAAGATCAAACACATCTAACGAATGGAAGGAACACAACTGCCATATTTCTGACTTGGTACAGGCCTTTCCTTATGTAGAAAATGGTGGATTAAACCTGGTTTTATAGCTAGCTAAACCTCTAACTTGTATGACGGTCGCATTGAATTCCATTATATTGACAACAATGTGTGAGCAAAACACTCAGACATAATAGGTAAAAACGCTAAATATGGGGGCACAGCAGTCAACATTGTAATATAATCTTAATCACTATAAAAACAAAGAAACACAAAATAATATATAGACAAAGTACATAAGCAAAAATGAAAGACAAGAATTCACAATTGACCATAGCACAATAACACAAAGGCGGGAAGTATAAGTACCGAGCCACGTCTTAAGTATGTAATCAAAAATGGACTAAACAGTAAAGATTAAAAATATACAAGGACAAACAAAGGGGAACGTTAACACGTAATTAAGAAAATAAACAACGTCAGTACCTAGAATCTATACTTCACGATCATCATGTACTATTTGTGAAGTTGACACGGAATTTTTTCCAACAAGGTCTTGGTATCTTCCAATGAACTTTTTGAGAAAAAGGTCGAGACGTTCTTTGACATAACCTTAGATCATATACTTTCTGCTCAGACACTGGTGACGTTTTACAAAGTCTGAGTAGCAGCTGCAAGCTCTTGAATACCGAATGAGTTGGGAAATGTATATCCCATATGCAAGTGAAGTTGGTATATTGCTGCTAAGGTGGGGAAAATTTATAGTTTCAAAATTAAAATCGTCTCGCTTGTCATATGGTATTGAGATGGCTGCTTATGTCATGAAAGAAGAATTTAAGAACAATTATATGATAAATCATGTCAGAACAGTCCACCAACAGTAGTCTCGACTCAGGGCTTTCAAATTATTGAAGTCAAATAAAACGAATTTGTTGGAACTATTATATTAAAGAAGTAATTTATCCAATGCATGTATATATACTTAACTAAGTCCTGTAGACGAAACGCGCGTCTGGCGCAAATACAAAATTTCAATCCTGGTATCTATGATGAGTTTATTTACAACCACTGGGTCGATGCCACTGCTAGTGGAGTTTTTATTCTCCGATGGTATCACCAGCCCAGTAGTCAGCACTTCTGTGTTGACATGATTTATCATTGATATGGTCATAATTATAAATTAACTGTTTACAAAACTTTGAATTTTTTAAATACTAAGGCTTTTCTACCTCAGGAATAGATTACCTTAGCTGTATCTGGCAAAACTTTTAGGAATTTTTGGTCCTCAATGCTCTTCAACTTTATTTGGCCTTTTTAACTTTTTTGATCCGAGCGTCACTGATGAGTCTTTTGTAGACGAACCGCGCGTCTGGCCAAATACAAAATCTCACTTCTGGTATCTATGATGAGTTTATTTTATATTTATTACGAATCCATAACATATAATCGACAAAAAATATTTCATTAAATAAAACCTTTCCGGCTTATGACTTCGTGCTTTATTGTCGAAGTTGACTGAACTCGACCTTTATAAACAATCAACACAGAATCTTGGAGCACGTGAAAAACAAGTGAGATTATAGACATGCAATGTTTATATATATTTTGTTAATGTCCATGCGTTTCAATGTTTTAATTAAACATTTTCATAAAAGTTGTTAAATGATTTGGTTTATTAAATGGTTCTTTGAAAATCAAATAGCACTATTTATCTTCCAGTGCACGTTTTTTTTTTACATTCAATCGGTAGCTTCGGGCTGTTTTCTGCTTTTTGATTGGGTTGTTTTTATTTTTACAAATCTCCCGTTTCCATTCTCTATTCTATTTTAATCACGATGTTTGCGCAGTGTGATTTTTGAAGTTCTATCGTGAGGTCTCGTAGTTAAGGTCACTGCATACGGAAAAGATACCGGCGAATTAGAGTAAGGGAAGACAATAATTTAATTGCAGCACATTTCTGAGGATTTTGATAAGATAAAGGATTTTCTTTCAAAATAATGTTCACTTACACGTGTTTTATAGTTAAATTGAGCCATTCAAGAATATAAATATAAAAATAACGAAATGTGGTATGATTGCCAATTAGACAGTTATCCACCAAAGTTCAAATGAAGTGGATGTAAGCAATTATAGGCAGCCATACGGCATTCAAATGACTATACGGTATAAGAAAATCACATGCCGTATAGTCAGCTATAGACGGCCTCAGCATGGAAAATATGAGACAATTCAATTGAGAAAACTAACGGTTTAATTTATAACAAAATAATCTACTCAAAATAAATATGACAGACATGAACCAACGAAAACTACTGAAAAACAGGCTCCTGACTTGGGACAGGCACATACAGAATGTGGCGGGGGTTAAGCATTTTTGAAGACGCCAACCCTCATTCAAACCTGGGACAGTGGTGTAATAGTACAGCATTAGAAAAAAACTATAAAAATCAGTTGAAAAGGGCTGAACTTATTTTATTTAAAGGATCGTATTTGAATTTCCGGCCTCGGTAAACAACAATACTGTTAAAAGTAGGATGTGCTATTCCGTTTGAAATATGTTTTGTACAGGGAGAGCCAAACTTCCAAACCAAATCTTTGTATCTATGGAAGAATTTAGTCAAGGTTTTAAGTAATTTGTGTAGTAACGAAATCTCTGACTTAAAAATTTACAAGTAATAAAATTGAGAATGGAAATGGGGAATGTGTCAAAGAGTCAAAAAGACAACAACCCGACCATAGAGCAGACAACAGCCGAAGGCCACCAATGGGTCTTCAATGCAGCGAGAAACTCCCGCACCCGGAGGCGTCCTTCAGCTGGCCCATAAACAAATATGTATACTAGTTCAGTGATAATGGACGTCATACTAAACTCCAAATTATACATAAGAAACTAAAATTAAAATTGATACAAGACTAACAAAGGCCAGAGGCTCTTGACTTGGGACAAGCGCAAAAATGCGGCGGGGTTAAACATGTTTTTTGAGATCTCAACCCTCCCCCTATACCTCTAGCCAATGTAGAAAAAACAAACGTACAACAGTTCGCACAGTAAAACTTAGTTTAAGAGAAGTCCGAGTCGGATGTCAGAATAGGAAACAAAAGAAAATAAACAAAATGACAATAATACATAAATAACAACAGACTACTGGCAGTTACTGATATGCCAGCTCCAGACCTCAATTAAACTGATTGAAAGATTATGTCTTCATCATATGAATATCAGGCACAATCCCTCCTGTTTGGGGTTTAGTATTATACCATCATAAAATATATGAGAAGAACATAACCCGTGTCATGCCAACAACTGGTTTTAGAATAAATATGTTTAATTCCGATGCAAAGACCCTATAAGTGAATCAATATTAAAGCCAAAATATGCAATCTTTAATGACCTAACAACAGTATCGTAACTATATCCCTTCTTAATAAGTCTGTGTAAAGGTTTTGTTAGCTATTGAGGTGAATACTGACATTTTTGTGCTTTGTAAAGAATATTACCATAAAAGATTGGATGTGAAATACCCGAACGTATAAGATGTCTGTATGTTGAGTTATATTTACGAATGCTGTCCTTATACCGATGATAAAATTTAGTTAATGTTTTGACTAGATTATGATGTCGAAAACCCTGGTGTAATAATTTTTCATACATAGATTACGATCAATGAAATCCAAAACTTCACTTCAGACTAAGGTACAGCAAACGATTTGGGATAAATAAACACCGTATGATAGTGTCAAAGGAAAATCACCATCCAAAGAAAATTAACAATAAAGAAAGAAAAATCGTCCCTTTTGTCATAAATTTTTGTGGAGAGTTTTTCGTATAAAACTGAAACATGTACATCCAGGAAAAGACAGTTATTGCTGTTGATATTTGATTTATTTAAAAAAAGTTCCTTTTGGTAAATTTCGGCAGTATATTTAGAGAGCTATTGATTATTTAACGAAAAAAATAGCATCAAGATAACGGTAAGTGTTGATAAATTTAACAGTTGAATTGAAGTCAGACGGGTCTTAACTGAGCTTGGCCATAAACTGTGATTCATAACAGTACATAAAAAAGTCTGCTATGAAAGGGGCACAAGTTGTGCTTATAGGCATACCTACAACCTGTCGATACATTTTATTGCCGAAACGTACATAAATGATGTCAAAGAGAATATTTACAGCGTTAATGACTTCATCACACCTCTAGTGAGTATATCTAGCATATTTACCTTTCTTATTAGAGAAAAAGGTTTTACATGAGTTGCAGCAAATACATTTGCATTCAGATTTTTTAAACGACCATATAAGATTGAGTGGAAGTATAGTAAAAAGAGTGGAAAAGTCAACACTGTCAACCGAATCAAAAGTTGATGATACGTTCTTTGATGGTAGTTTATGAACTAGTTAAAATCACTAAAAGATTAGTAGTAGAACACTTACCAGAGGCAGAGATGAAACAATATTTTACGATTTTTTGTGTGTAGTTTTTACTATATAAACATATTTAACTTTTTTTAATTTGAAGTATCATATGGCTTTAAGAGACGTCTTGACTATATCATGTATAGTGAGATACAAAATAATGAATACTTATTATTTGCATCTCTTGGAGTACTACAAGGCTTAAATGTTGTCTTGTTGTTCTGATAATTATGAAGAAGACTATACTAAGTGGAACTCGTATGAAAATTTAATACACTTCTTAAAGATTACACTAGATGTAATTCCCTTTGGAGTTAATTCCACATGTTTTTACCGCAATGCTTGTTTGCCTGTTCAAATGTCCTTGTGTTTCTAAGTCTATTCGACATAGTGCATGTCCTTTCATACACACTGGCATCAAATAATTGTAGAATGATTAACGTGATAAACATTATTTTTTTTATGATTACTAGTAACTTCAGATGAAGGTAAATCTGCAAAAAACCATCATAGCTAAAATCATTTGAACCGGATAATGTATATTTAGGTATTGACATTAGCTACTTGACATTGGCTTAAAATAAGTTGATGAATAGAATGCTCCAATGTTCGCGTACCTAGTCTTATTTCGGTAGAATAAAAGGTGATACAAATTCTAAAAGGAAAAGGGTAATAATATTGCTAAATAAAACAATATAAAAATGAAGAGATGGTTGTGATTGCGAATGAGACAACTATCCATAGACAAAGATTTGAACAATAACAGTTCACCATTACTGATATTCAACTTAATTGGAAATGAAAAACACCTTATTATGATACGGCATATTGGAATATTTTAGACGTAAATTACCAAACTAACACTTCTTTATACTGCAAATACACCAACCCCTTTACATTGAGATAGTACCCCTTCCCCCCATCAAAAAAATAACTATTATAGAGATGTGACGTGACATTGGTGTATTGATTTTCTTCTTCAGGTCAATCAACTTGAACGTGACAGAAACAACCAATCAGCACAAATTCAAGCAGTGCAAAAAATAGGTAAAACAGTTTTGTCATATAAATACAGTAGTTTACTGATAGTCAAATTAATGGAGGCGGTGGTTTTCTTTTGTTGTTGAGTATAGATGAAAGATTGATTGATTGATTGATTGGTGTTTAACGCCACTTTCAACACTATTGTGCTATTTCGTGGCGGTCGGTTTTTATTGGTGGAAATAGCCGGAGTGCCCGGAGAGAACCACCGACCTTCGGTAGGAAAACTGACAATCCTAGTCAATTAAGATTGGAGTCGAGTGCACCTGCCCCGTGCAGGATTCGAACTCACAACCTCAGTGTTGACTGGCTAGTGATACAATAGTTCGACTACTTAGACCAATCGGCCCGAGGCCCCAAATATAGATGGAAGAATAAGGTCAGCTATTTGTTCATTGCCAAACATACCACATCGCCTTATTTTATATAAATGGATTTTGTAAGATCAGTCTTTATCCACAGCAATAAAAACCTTATCCTGAACGAACAATTTACTAAAATATCAGTCCAATTTTATGATTTTGGCGCCAGTTTTTGTGGCCTTCGGTGTTAAACATTTGATGGTGACTATACACGTTGCAAGTAGGCTAAAATGGCCTTGAAGTTGTTATCTCTTACGTCATTTGGAAATTGGTTGATAGTTTTCTCATTGACAATCATACCACATTCTCTTTTTTCTATATTGATACTATTTATTTTGTTACTGTAGCTATCTTAATAATATCTTAACATTAACACCTTACATATATTTTAAGTGCCTCGATTTTGCCTGCAGCAAGGAAGTTTGTTATTTACTCTGACAATACAAAAAAACAAATGCATCTATAGTACGCTATAGAGAAACAATACACTAAAAATCCGTCGAATAGACATGAATTTGGTTAGTCTTTTAAGGTTGTTCGCTACTCTGATTCAAAATAACAAGCTTTTTAAAAGACTGTTTTAAAATGATAGTATATAAATAAAGGAACTAAAAAAGCAGAAAAAAATAAAGGGTCCTTGCGCTTGTTTTCGAGATATAAGTCATTGAAAATTTGGCGGGAAATGATTCTCTCTAGATTTTTCATACGTTTAACATTGGCCGCTTTTTTGTTTCAAAAACTATGAAAAAATAACAAGGGTTTTATAAGATTTTCAAATATGGCTTTTTAAACTATATGCAATAAAATTATGAAAAGAAAAGCAGGGATTAGCCGGCAAAATTTTTAAATGGCAATACATGGATAAAACCAGAGGATTCCGAAAATCTGGCAAAAAATCAAAAAAAAGAGGAGCAAACATCCTTTTATCTCTTTTGGTAGCATAGCTCCCATAGTTCACCATATCTAGACATCCTCTGCTTTCAAATGTGTGTGTTTGAACGTTCCTATTGAAGGTTAATCCAGAAAAGCGCGTCGGACACAATGAAACTTATTCTAAAGTGTTATTTTCATTGGGGAATACAACGCAAATTGAATATAATCGAATTCGTTTAATAATTTTAAGATTTGTCAAGATATTGTTCTCGTGTTTTAAGATCTACAGTAACAATATTGCAATATTAGCCAAATAGCCTGTGTTTCAGTAATGGCATACCTTTAACGATACATCATGTCTATATATTTTCCCTAAAGAAATTAAACAATTGTCCTTTTGGGTCTTATGCACTCAAACATTTTATGATTTTGACTTTCCTCACTTTCAACTTTAGGTTTATACATATATCTAATGAAAGCATTCCCAGAAGCACTTTAGATGCTTATAAAATTTATTCGGCAATACCGATTTGGTATCATACATTTATGTACTACCACTTGATCAAATGATGATGGAATATCAATTTTCGAGGGTAACATCCACCCAATAGTTCCAATGTTATATATTTTGGCTTTCTGATTGTTTGGTTTTCTGCTTTCTTGAGGTTACCCCAGAACACATATGTCATGGATATCATGCAATCGGCACCATATGTTTTTTTATAATACAATTTTACAATCAACTCTTTAGATATTGACAATATGTCGTTAAAAATATCTGAAAAAAAAAAAAAAAAAAATTCCAATTAAGGTTATCAAATATCGGAGTCTATGTAAATTGTCAGTAAAATGACATACAATTCTAATTAACACATTTCTTTATTTCAGTAAATACGATGAATCCGGGATGTAAGTATATTGACTCATCATAGATAGCAGGATTAAAATGTTGTACGCCAGACACGGATTTCGTCTACAAAAGACTCATCAGTGACGCTCGAATCTAAAAAGTAAAAAAAAATCAAATAAAGTACGAAATTAAAAGCATTAAGGACCAAATTTCTGAAAGACTTTGTCACATACAGCTACGATAATCTATTCCTGTGGTAGAAAATCCTTATCCTTAGTTTTTCGAATTTCAAAGTTTTGTTAACAGTTAGTTTATAATTATGACCATATCAATGATAATTCTCCTTAAAATATTTTGAATTTTTAAAACATAAGACTATCAGGTACATCGACAGTTGTTTTTTAATTTTAACAGAATCTATAATCGAATAATACTATTTTTTGATATTCATGAGTCTTTTGTCATAGTTTTAAAGTATAGTCTCAAATCATTTCTAATATTTATCCTTCTAATTGTACATGCAAATGTTTCCAATTTTCATAACGTCTTCTTATTTTTGTTGTTGTTGTTGATGTTGTTGAAAAGGGGATGGTAGGTTCTAAAAAGACGACAAAATGAAACATCTTAATTCTGCATTACGCGATTAAAATTTATGTAATAATATCTATTTATAAATCCAAATATAGGTCCGAAATATGCAATGTTAAACAAAACCACTAAAACAAAGTCCTACAGCATTATAAACGCTTACATTTGATAATACTTGCTTTAGTCAATTCCTTAATTCTATAATCAATTTTGAAGACAATTAAGCAGCCTATAATTTTTATTGTTAAACAATAGAATAAACATTAAGAAAAAAAATGAGTGCTATATTTTTCATTACACGAAATGTAATGAAAAATATGGAACTTATTTCGATTCTGTCAATGGAATTTTCAGACAATGACTATTTTTTATACAATTTAAAACGACAAAAAAGCTCAATGCTGTAGCCATGAATGTGTACCATATTATTTTTATTTCGATTATAATTATTTTTATTATTAAGCCATTTATCATACGATATGGCCAATCAGTTTGTTTTATTTAAGGTCAAACAGGAAATCATGTCCTTATTGATGCAAAAGGTCATGCACAGTCGGCGTCTACTGTTATCCATTTTAATGAACAATTTGATGAAATACCAACTGTTGTGTGGGGCACTACAGGTTTAGATATTGACAGCAATCACAATACTCGTTTTGCATCATCTATACAGAGCATAACGAAGGAGGGCTTCACATTGGAGGCACACACATGGTCGGACACCGGAATTTACCTTGTGCGAATACAGTGGATGGCTTGTCCAGCTCACATATAAATATATTTTTGTTGCTAGTCTTTAGTTTATTACTTAGGTTATTATACATTTGAATGTCAATCCGTTCGAAATTGTTGTTGATGTATTTGGCTTTCAAATCTGTTGACCTCGAGTGAACCTTGAAAGCTCACTAAAACATATGTTTTTGTATAAATTTGTTAAAAACATCTACCACTAGACGACAGTGCACACACGAGTCAATTTAAGGTATCTAAGCCATGATTTTTGTCTTTGCATCACGTCTATTTCCTTGGAGGAGTCAGATGATAGGTGGAAGTGTTGTCTGTTCTTCCGTCCAACTTTTGGTCAATATTGTTATTCTTCTAACGGATAAGGTATGAATTAAGTCCGATACATAAGTAAAGTTAAGTTGTTCCCCCGATGACCCCTGATATACATATATAATAACTTTATTATTATTTTTTATGACTAATCATTCGTTGTAGAATAAATGTTCTTCATCACAAGGAAATTTCCAAACACATACTTTAAAGCGTAGTAAGTTATAACACGATAGGACAAGTCGTATGGAATCGAACGTTTGAAATTGAATAAATTATATCCTAAATTCTCACAACATTAGGGTATTAAATTAAATACTGATCAATTACTGCATCGTTGCTTTTTACTGTATTCGCCAAGTGATCCAGAATCAATCCTTGTTAGAAACATAAACATTTTTCGTATTTTAAAAAGTGAATGTTCGTGAATGTATATGACATATAAGTCAAACGAAACACTAGGAAAAGACCAATGTTTTCACATTACATGCTCTTATAAGCTGTTTTTTGTTATAGAATTGAAAGCTTCTTGAACGTTTGAATAATGACAGTAATGACTCTATTGCAAGAACAAAACGGCCATTAGCGTCAAACTGAGGATACTCTTTAAAATTCCTTTATAAGCTCTACGTAGATGTTAAGTAAAGACGCAAGCGATTTTATTTGTTGTGTACATATTTTATATGTAAAGTTTTTCTCAAAGTCTGTAATTTTATAAATTGTATCAATTCCCTTCATATTTGAGCTGGACAACAGACTTAAAAAGAAGAAGGGTTGAGTTCTAAAAAACCTGGGAAATTTATCTTGATGAGATAATCTCGAGCTCTAACTCAATCTTGCCTAAAAGAATTGATATCATTTGCTAAATTCATTCACAATTCTTTTATAGGCAAGATTGATTTAGAGCTCAATATTGGCATATTACATAGACACGTGTCTATTCTTGAAGACCATGTGTCTACAACCAAAGGTCTTTTATTGTTTGGTTTTGAAAGGCTGTTGTCTCAACGACTTATTCAGTACATATTTGTCCATTTATATATATTTTAAAAGATACAAGGTAAGATGAAAATCAAGTACAGATCACTAAGTTATAACACGGGAAAGTTATTAGTCGAATAAATGGTTTCTTTTTCTCTTTATCATTATCTGCTTTTTTAGCTGAATGAATATGATTTAAAGGAGTATGCACTTTACTTAGAAGATTTATAACAAAGCGGTTACACAACCACACAACAAGCTAAACAGTTAATCAACGGTTTTATACCTGCCATAGACACATTGTAAGCAACTATGAGACTCAAAGTAATGTCATATCTATAATTAGATCCATTAATGAAACGAACATTTCGCTCTTTTATATTTTTTTTTAGACATAAACGCCTCTGATAAACATAAAGCAACCTCCTTAACAAATGAAGCTCTCGTTTTGCTCAATTACATCAATGTTTTACAAGATAATATATTTAACTAATAGAATCTCAGTAATCAACTTTAAAATCAAAACTGATGTTAAGTTGGTTTTCTTGTTAAAATTTGTTTCAAGTTCGTTACTCGTGAATATTGTCTTTGAAATGAAATAGATTTAACGAAAGTAGATTAAGTTTCTATAGCATTATATCATTATAATTGGGACAAAATGGTCATTTTATTTGATATTTTGCCTTCCCGAATTTCATTTTAATTGCTTCATCATAATTATGCCAATAATATCACGGAAGAATGATATTAAAGATAGAAACTATCGGTTTATCAATATTAAAAAAGCAACCCCAAGAGACAAACTGTTGATAAATTTGCATGTCAAACTCTTTCAAAATTAAATTGTTTTGCTTGATAGTGTATTGGACTTTAATTACCTAGAAGTATGAGTCTTGAAATAACATTTTATTAGCAATACATTTTAATAGATTTAATAGCAGAAATTGTTTCTTGTAGGCCAACGGATAATTCAAATTGAAAGATTAAACAGCGTGTGGGCATTACAAAAAATATGGTTGCACTTCTTTTTGGTCAAGTCATTAGATATTGAAATCGTTTATTTATAGGAGTGTTTCATCGTAACAGTACACCAGTACACTGACCAATTAAAGATACATGAGATCATCTAAAAAATAAAACAAAAATAGGCAAAAATTACGGGGTGTAAAGGAGTAGGTTCGATAATGACCCAATATGAACCCCTTTGTTAAAATAAGAATGTATTAACCATTATCATGATACATCAAACATAAAACAATGACTTAATAAGACTTAAGTCTCTGTTGGAAATTTACGAATCTGCGAATGTTTTCACAAAAAATCTTACGATTAAAATTGATCTTAAGTTATACTGAAATGTGTATGACTTAAGAGTATTTTTACTCTTAAGATTTTTTTGTGAAAAGAGCCACAGAGTTTTTCAAGACGTCAATATACATGATATATATATAGCACAGCTTTGATTTTCCTCGAAATTCAATGACAACAGGTTTTTGGAAAGTATATGTATAGCGGTCGATGAAAACGATATTTTGACATTATGTTTTTTTTTATATCAAATTACATATCTTACTTGAATATTTAGAGTATCGAATCCTGTGGCCTGCACTATATATTTCCTACATAGAAATGTGGTTGAAATCCAGACTTTGTCAACTCTCACATGAACTGACATTATAGAAATAACACATAGCTGAGAGGGTGATAGAGCAGATTGTTACCTCGAGAACCAACCGAAGCGAAGCCAAGGATGACAATGTCTTTTCGAGAGGTAACAATCTGCTCTATCCCCCTCACATCTATGTGTTATTTCATTTATCATACTGAATGTTCTGTTATTACTGTCGATTAAAAAAGTTATAAACTATAACGTCTTGTACATAACAACCATACGTATTTGATAAAGCGCTCCATTGTTCAAGCGTCTACGCGAAGGGTGATAGAACTATTTGCCATGGGATAAAGTAAATTATCTCCCTCGTATTAACTAATCAAAATCTAGCAAGTATAATAATATCCAATGAACAATTTTACTTGTCAAGCAAATTTGTGTCCTGTTCCATTATGTTACAATTTATCAAATCTTGCAGAATTTTTTCTCCCTTTTCTATGTTGACAATTTTCTAACGTTTGACATCTAAACATATGATCAAACCTGTTTGGACCACATATTTAAACAGGATGAAGAAAAACATAAAAAAATCAAGGTCACCTCACATGCAAAATCTATAAACTAAAAAAAAAGTAAATTAGTTTAATCTTTCCAAAAAAGTATGGAGTGCTTAGCAGTATCATAAATGCGTAGGTGTAATATTATTTTTAATACAAAATACTTCTTTTTGGCACGTCACATCATAAATTACGAGGTGATGACCGCTAGATTTTCATTATTTGTGCTGTTATGTCATTTTTTGTCCAATTTTCCATAGTGT